GATACTTTATGCTAAAACAAACAACTTTTTCTTTTAGCAAAATTGCGTCCGATAAGTAGTTTTTACAGGAGAGCAGGTTGAAGTTAACAAATAACCGCAAAAATTATTTATCGGATGCAATTTTGCTAAAGGAAAAAGTTATTTGTTTTAACATAAAGTATCATGTCCTGTACTCTGATTCCTCGAATTTCGGATCGCCCTGTATATATATGCATGTGGTTTATACATGTAGATCTATTGAAGAATTAAGATCAATCATATTAAAATATTTTACAACAGTTAAAGCAGCTTTTTTTATGCTGAATACAGTCATTAATGAACTATAGCTTGTAGCTCATCCAAATACAGCCATACTAATAAAGCAATCACTCTTTTTTTGTAATTTGCAAAAGCTCAGCTAAAAAGAACGGGCCTCGTGGCGAGCATCGGCACGACGAACATTTTTCGACATTGTCGAAGTATCATGGAACGATACTGGATAACACGAGTGTCTGAGTGAAAACCGCAGCGATTCATGCTGAACGATTAGCAATAAAGGAATGATTACAACGAGGCGAATACTCACATCATGATCCATTTTCACCATCTTAAGAGACTTAAACGGAATAGAGAGTCCCGTGAAACTTGTAGAACGGAGTAAAACGTGAATCGACAGCAAACGATGGAAGGAACGACGCTATCACGGCACCATCGATTTCCATTCCCTGCGCGCACTCATGTGAACCCCGGGCTGCTGGCTGTCCAATATCCAATCATAAAGGCCATGGCACACACCTTCCATAATGCTGGATTCACACTGCATCCGATTTTCGTCGTACGACTCTCTGCAACCAATCAGAAAACAGGATTCCGATGAATTTTGCTTCGTATTATCAGAATCCTGTTTTCTGATTGGATGACGAATATCAATTTTGATCACGTGACCTATTTTGACGCTGAAAATGAGCGTCGAGCGTCGAGCGTCGGCACCTTCAAAGGTGCGTTCCAATACTCGACTCTATCAACTCCGAGTATCTTTTATCCTTGTTTTTCACCGAATATTGAAGACAGTTGAACAAGGATAAAAGATACTCGGTGTTGATAGAGTCGAGTTTTGGAACGCACCCCAAGTGGACCGCAGTCACAGAAGGTGCATGCACCGTCAAAAAGAACAAACCTATTATTAGCGGCGAATGTAATAATTTCAAAAACTACGGTACGAACGTCTATACATAAGAGATCGTTTGCTTGAAACGGAATTCCGTTTCAATACTGTAGAGATATCGAGAAACGGAACAAAGCAATCGCAAAGAAGTGATTCCATAAAGCAGTATGTGCTCGAAGCCAAAAAAAATCTGCTCGAGCCTATGTAGCTGGCCAATCTTCAACTCACTGGAATCACAGTTCCTCTCCCAGATTCATATGGTTCTAGTATACGGTAAGTAATTCATTCACTTTATGTATTCGTTTTGGTAATGTTTATCTTTCAACTTGAAACAGGTACATTGGGAAATGAGGCCTTAATCGTAACAAAGGACAAGATGGTGTATGGCCTAGGTAACAACGTCAACGGTTGTTTGGGGATCGGGGACGAGGATGCCACGCTAGATCCGAAAAAAGTAGAGGATCTATGCGGGAAAGATATAAAGACATTCGCGTATGGCATCGGACCTCATGTTTTGGCGCTCACAAAAGAAGGAGAAGTAAGAAGTTTCTGTATTGAAGTACAAGTGAATGTTTAATTCATTTGAAACACCTCAATAGAATACATACAAGAAGTCTAAGAGAATGAATGGAAATTATAGGTCTGTTTTTTATTGTTGCATTCTAAACTGATGCAATAAGTTGAAGTGAAACAAACGTATATTTGTTTGACTTCAACTTATTGCACTGTGTGTACCAATTTAGAAAGTGTAGCAATAAAAAACGGACCTATTTATAATTCCCATTCACTCTCGATTATTCATAATTTTTACTAATTGTAATTTACGAATTTGTCGAGTGTTAAGCTTCTCTGTAATCTTATAAAGTAACTAGAATGAATTTTATATATATATATATATAAAAGAAATTTAAATTATTCTTTATTATTCTTTATTGATACATATAACAATTTAGAAAAATTTCATTTTATGAAATAATGAAATCAAACGACACATTTGTGAGACGTTATAATTAATGATAGCAATGTCTTCAAAAGATTTATTCTTGGGGTTGCAACGATCGTGGCCAACTGGGGACTGAAAAGTCTGCTCAAGTTATCACACCTATTCTAGTGCAAATTCCTGTTCCGGAAGACAGCCTGAGCATGAAGCGCATTATAGATATTGCCTGTGGTATTAATTATTCTGTCGCTCTAACCGAGGACGGCAAGGTAAGCAAAGTGTCAAGTTCCGATAATGATAATCCTCTGTTTTTATGAGCTAGATAGTCGATTTGATTTAGATTTACACTTGGGGAGATAACCATTACTACCAACTGGGTGGCAGTATTAATGATGACAATATATTCAACTGTTGTTATTCATCGATACCTAAATTACTGAATTGCAACTTAGCTGGGAAGAAGGTTGTCCATGTCTCCTGTGGCGGGGCCTTTACTATGGCGATCACTGATAATGGCGAGGTGTATGGTTGGGGCGATAATTCCATTGGACAACTAGGGATAAGGAAAAATTGCGAGAAAGAATTAACGCCACAGTGGATCGATTTAGAAGGTCATGTCATAGGTAATTCTTGTCTCAATAAAACAGTAAAAGAAGAAGTAAACGACAAAACGAAATGGAATCGTTAAACAATCGGTATTATTTCAGTCAAAGTGGTTTGTGGATTCCAGCACGCGTTAGCGCTCACAGAGCAAGGGGACATCTTTGCTTGGGGCAGGAACGATGACGGCCAATTAGGAATCGGCACCAACGAGTTCTGTAGACCAATCATGATCAACTCCCTGGTAAACTCATTTTATATTTATAAAAAAACAAAGGACAAAAAAAAGAAATGGAAAGGATCATTTCATCATCAGTCGTTATATTATCAGATTAAACATGAAACGAAGATAAAATGGGTTGACATCGCAGCTTTGAACTGTAGTAACATAAGCGTTGCCGTTAGCGAAGAAGGACATGTCTACGTGTGGGGTAACTGCCATGGTGAAAAGATTGTGACCCCAACTGTCACTCCGTTCTCAGACATGCACGATGCAATTGCGCGCTATGGGCCCAGCGTTATGCACCAACCATTGATCCTATACGCGAACGAAGGGCCAGATATATTACAGTGCTTGAAAACTGCTTTTGACGACCGCGTATGTATCTTATTCCTCGTTACGTATCTTTGTTTTGCATCTCGGTATTTTCGAAATATTTAATATTGAGAATGGAAAAATGCAAGTGAAACAAATGGATCTAAAGTTTTTTCAGCTAAACTTCTTCGTAATTCATTGTTTCCTCTTTTTCTCTCCATGTTGGAGAAAAAGGAAAGGAAAAAGGTGAATAGTATAAAAAAGTACGGCTAAAAAGAACAGGTTTCCAATTCCTAATAATAGTACCTCTAATTTTGTATACATAGTTATTATCAACACATGTGTATATTAGTCTACATATCTCTACTTATTGATTATAAGATTGTAATTATGCATACATTGTCATACTTAAAATAAAATTGAACAAAAAACGATAAATCTTAAACAATACATATATATAGTGGTTAAAATTTATCATTTTTTTTCAGTCTTATTTTAAATATAGTGTTATTGCCTTGAATCTTTTTAAAAGAAATTTCAAAAATTTCTTTATAGATGAAAAAAATACTGAAGCTGAGGATGAAAACTTCGACTGATAAAGGGTGTCCGCTTCACGCTGCAAATGCTTTGAAGCATTCTTTGATTGGTCAATTCGTAAAATTCTTTCTTCTGATTGGTCACATAATATTTGCAGCGTTAAGTGGATCACACCAAAAAACTGCATAATATATTTATTCTCGAATAGTTGATAAATATAAATATTTTATGTCTCAAGCTAATATTGTATACATTTGACTTTAACAACTTTCTCTTTTTTGTAATTTAGTTAACGAGTGATTTCGAGATACAAGTACAAGGCAAATGTATCTACGTGCACAAGGTTGTCTTGATAGCCCGCTGTTCATACTTTAGAACCATGTTTCAGCACGATTGGGCGTGCCAAAAGTTATTTTTGAACGAAGGGTTAGTGTTATTTATGTTTAAAATTTTTCAAGTTTTGCTTATTTTATCGATGTTTCTTCTTGCCGATAGTGCCAGCAAACCTTCCTATGTTATCTACAAAGCCTTCCTGAAGTATTTATACACCGATATAATCGATTTACCTCTGGAGAAGGCATCAGGTAAGTCGAGTACACTATGTTTGCAATCTTCGACTTATTCCCATGATTGAATTTTTCATTACAGAACTTTTGGATCTGGCCGAGGAATACTGTGAGAGTAATCTCAAGCAGCACTGCATTCAGTTGATAAAGCAAGGAATTACTGTATCAAACGTCGCATACTTCTACCGTATTGCAGTGAAGCATAACGCAAAGGTAGTCAAACATTATCACTATTAACGCTCATTAACTTAAGTATAATCCTCATTAACGTTTCATTAAAGTGTATATTTTATCTGTTTTTTGTGCGCAATTATTGAATGTTGTTGGCAATTTTTTAGGACTTAAAAGACTTCTGTATCAAGTTCGCTGTTGATCACTTGACGGCTGTGACGCAGACAGAAAGTTTCTCTAAGCTGGACCGTATTACGATGAAAACATTTATAATAAAGATCGGTAAGGTAGGAGGTTTTAAGAAGTAATCCCGTTTATATTTGCCTCAAAGGCAACGCATCTCAATGAGGAATGGAAATCACTGGTATGACTGTTGCTACAGTTATATAATATATTCGCGATATATTTTATAATTTCATATTCTGACGAAATATTTCGACATTTTTTTAAATTGCATTTCGTTATTAGCATTTCCTTTAAGTGACAAATAGATACGACTGCGTCCAGTTACAAACTGTTTCTCATAAATAATTCGCGCGAGAGATTCTTTCGTCGATCTTGGAGAATATAATCTTGTCGTCTTTCAAAATCTGAGATTATCTCAGAAATCGCGTAAAGAAACTAGAATATAAACACACCAAGAGAAATATCGTATTTGCAAAAGCGCTGTTATTTTTGTAACGAATTAATTAATACGTCAATTCTGTTGTAAAGTCGTCCTGTTGTAAAGTTTTTAATAATTCCGTTTTCTTTTTATCATACCTGTGATATATCGTATTGGTATATATTTATCGCGATTCATAATCACATCTAGCTTTCCGCCGATTTTCTTTACCAGCTACAAACGTTGTAAAATGTAAATAAGTATGTATAGCGAAATAAATGTTTTGATATTTATCATAAAAGTGTCTTAACATTTTTAAAGACATTTTACCGTCAATGCTGTGCCATTATGCTATCTTTACTTTTGGCCGCTCTTGTTCGATATTCTTAGGACACGTTTGTTAGGATATATTGTAGTGCTGTGATAAATGTAAGAATGGCAATATGAGCGAAGCAGTGAAGATAATTGTATTGATTTCTATGTAAGTGTTTATATTGAAGTAGTGCGCAGAATGAAGTTTCATAGTTGATCAGCGATAAAAGCACATTGAGAAGAAAAAATTTGAACTCTTACGCTATTATTGACCATAACAATGCTGTCCAGCAGCGGAATTCTATAACTCGTTATGCAATCGTTATGTGCGACAGTTGCGCAGGGATTTTATGTAGTAAAAAAGCTGCGCCACTGTCGTTATGAACTCATAATGGCTGCATAACGAGTTACAGAATACAGGGGCAGGCAGGGACAGGTATCCTATTCTGTAACTCGTTAAGACAGTAACGACATCATCGCACAGCTTTTTATACCATAAAATATCTTCGCAACAATGTCGTTACTGTCTTAACGAGTTACAGAATAGCGTATCAGGGTCCTTTTTCTGTAACTTTTAGCGATAGTTATAATATCGTTACATTGTCGTTGCGTAGATTTTATACATGGCAAAAAAGTTGCGCAACCATCTAACGACATCGACACTGTTTTTAGGAATTACAGGACAACGACTCAGGATATGTTATTTTGCACTTAAAATTGAAATATCGATGTTCATGCTTATTGCTTCTCCTATTCCTCATTTCATATAATTGTTTTTTCGTAGCGCGCAACGCTCAGATTAAGGAAGTAACTAGTCAAGAACCGTAAAAAATATTCGACTTGTCATAACATTAAAAAACACGCATCTACAGTATCTTGGGATGTGAAAAGTTATTGACAAACTACATAATATAGGAGAGACCGGGGCTAAACTGTCATTTGAATTTTGAGTGACAAAAATATATCTTATAAGTTCCTAATATTGTAGATAGCATCTCGTCTTCTTTACCAACGAAGTTTGATTAGTTCAGGTGCCGCGTTGTTATGTTTAGGTAGTCAAACGTGTTTTCGATAGTCAAAAATAATTTTTGAGATTTCATTTTCCGAATCATATCATTTTTTGTGTATATGGATGAAATGAAGTTGCAAACACCAAAACTTTTTATTGCCATCTTGTACTCTTATAATCACTCTATAAAACGCCAATAATCATTTGATTATCATGATAAAAATTGTTTATTTTCTTCTCATAAAGTTCTGAGAATTTTTTAATACTGTATTTTCTTATGTTGGTAAAAATAGTTGCCAATAAGAAAATGCAATACTAAAAAGTGATAAAAAATTCTGAAAAAATTTTAAGAGTGCTATGAGAAGAAAATAAACAATTTTTATCTCTTGCAATTTTGCTGTAAAGTTGATAGTATTTTAGAAAAAAATCATTGAAGACCAGTATATTCGGTAATTTTTAGTAATATCTTGTTAACTATTGCGAAAATTGCAAAATGGTAAAGGACTTTTCGATTAAGTTTAGTCCGCTCTATCTACACAAGAGCGTTTGGCAAAAATTTCGGGACATTCTGTATTGAAAACGAGACAGAACACAATGTGTACATTGAAACGTGATGTTTTTCGAACGTTAAAGAATTAAAAAACTTGTTTTTAAAGTAAATAACTTCTGCATTACACAACTTGATCTGGTAATTTTTTATTCAATCAATTTTTTTTAAAAAAAAAAGCACAAATAAATTTGTTTTTCTTTCCTCTTATCTAAGTATATATATTAAGAACAGCAACAAAAAATGAATATACATATTTTTAATAATATAATAATCAACATGAGCATTTATAAAACAATACATTCAGGAAATATCGTTACAGTACATTCCTATTATGGAATCTTATGTGTATGTAAAATGTCTATATTTCTCATATATACATAAAATATCTTGTGTATGTGTGAATGTATATGTATTTTAGTCTACATATGTATAATAAGAAGTTTATTACTAGCAAAGCTTGCTCAGTCATGCTCGAATCAAGGATATTTGTTCCAAAAAAATCTTATACTTAATTTTAATTATCCTTAACGTGTGTATTAAAATCCATACTAATTACTAATCTAGAGACACAGTAGTATCTCGGCGCATCTACAGAACGTCTGTTCCACAATTGGAACATGGAAAGCATGTATAAATATAGTATATTACTCTTAATTCTCTCTTATATTTATGTGTAATATATTACAAATATACGCACACATACGCGCATGTATATAATACGTATAATATACTTATACAGTATGTATAAATATATATTATATATTTGTATGTATATGCACATAAATTAAGAGTTGCGTTAATAAATATAGCATAACATACTAATACTGTAATATCCTATATTTATACATTGCATTAATTAGGAATTAATGCTTGAACATGAGCCTCGAATACATTTCCGAAAAACTCAACTTCCAACATAGTCGACGTGACATTACAGAGAATCTCACGATTTATAACGAAGCAGTCATGTGATTCATAGATACGTGACAACGATTAGAGTGATGGGTAAAGAGAAATTTTAAGCTACCTCGATGCACTGGTTTTGGTCACGTAGTTTCTGATATTTTCCTGGAGCGACTTTTCTTGTGCTTAGCCGATTCGGTTATTGCACCGTCGTTATCCGGCACAGATTCCTTGACCGATTTTCGACCACGGCCAACGTTTCTCTCTTCATTTTCCGAACCTAGCGATTCCCGATTCGATTTCCGGCGCTGACGCTGCGGTGGTTGATTCTGCGCCTCCATTATTTCGCGCAGATGTTTCTTCTTCGCATCCCAAAACGTTTGTTGTCGCTGGACAATCTCGGTATATCTACGAATAAGAACGATTAATGTTAATTTCTAGTATAATTCTAATAGTGACGGGTTCAATGCAAAAAAAAAAAATGAAATTGCATGAAATCATATAGAATTACTTGGAAATATTGAAAATCAATTGGAGTAGCAAGATACTTGTTGAAGAACGTCGGATTTGACTGGATTTTTTTTAGAGAAGTCAACGAAATGTAGCGATTACCTCTTGCAGAAATCCCAGTTGAGTGGCTCTTTCAGTTGCCAACCTTTCCCTGATTCGTACGTTCCAAGCTCCGCAAAAATCTGATTAATTTCTTCTGATGGCAACTTGATGACGGACGAGATCGTTTTGCGATTGAGATACTGATGTTCGGTAAATAATAATAACTAAAAGAAATACCAAAAGCATTTTATATATATATATATAATTTTTCTTTTGTATATTTAAAATTATATTTAAGCTTCTTTCACTTTCTTGAGTAACTTTGGTAAGTAAGCAATTTTGATCGCATAGATAATGTCTTAATAAAAATATAAAAAATAATCAATGGTTTCATAAAATTAAATATAATAATAATCCAAATTGATATAAAAATAGTTGGAGTCTATTATATTTTAGTGTAAGATTCAAAAATTCAGAAGCTAAGAGAAATAAAATTAGATTTCAGGACATAATTTTTTACTAATAAACTTTGAATACTCACAATATAATCACGTGCTCTGCACATGAATTCAGAGGTACTGTTTTGAGGAGAAAGGCTGTCTTTGGGATATATCAGTTCACTATTCACGACCCAGTTACCCTGCACCAGCATAGCTACTTGCTGCAAATACTTGAGTATTGTATCATGCTCTGACGATAGAATTTCGCATAACTTTGCAAAGGATATGACTCTCACTGTAAAAAATAGATTTGTTTCTATCAAATTCCTATGTGATATTAAAATCTGCTTAATTTATATAATTAACATTTATACTAAACATATAAAAAATTGACTTATGTTTCTAAATGTGCATCGTTAAAAGACTAAGAAATATATGTTTTTTAAACAAAAGTTTCATGATTTCAAAGATCTTTTATATTAAATATATATATATATATATATCTTTATATCTTCCTTTCTCTTTATCTCAAATATGATTTTCTCACCTTGTTTCATGATTTTCCTGATTTGGTCTAGCAAAGGCAAAGTCAAAATGTGATGAAGATCCGTCTGATCCTCAGAGGAGGATTGCAAATAGCACTCATCAGGTAACTGAGGTACCAACAGATGCAGATAATTTATCTGACCCAAATTCAGATTATTTATCGATTCTTCGGCCGATGAACAGAACATCTCCATCCGTGTCGACTGTAAAAACAAAACGAAATATTTAGCATTTCAATATAAAAAAAATAATATAATAACAGATAAAACGTATGCAAAAGTTTTTTTTGCTGCATTTAAGTACAGCAATACATTAATTATATTTTCCTTTAAAAAAAATTATTAACTTCACGATTATATCGAGACAACTTACCTCAGCTTGCATATCGTAAG